AGCATGGTTTCAGGGGAAATTCTTACAGGCTTTTGTTTGGGGACTTCAACCAAATCAGAACTCTGTCAAGAGAAGCCAAGTCCAAGCCCATCAATTTTACCAATAATATCATTCCTCGAGTTATTCCCTTCATCCACGTTGCAGTCCGAAAATATGGTATGCCTCATCTCTCTCTCTCTCTCTCTCTCTCTCTCTCTCTCTCTCTCTCTCTCTCTCTCGAGTATAGTTAATTAATTCTCAGGCTTCGATCTGTAAAGACTAGCAGCAAGTTGTGATTTTATTGTTGTGCAGGTGAAAACTGCTATCTGTGGTTCGGGCCGAGGGCGGCCGTAATCGTCACCAACCCTGAGGTTATAAGAGAGATCTTACAGAAGAGTTATGTTTTTCAGAAGCCTAGTGGTAACCCACTAGGTCGATTGCTGGCCAAAGGTATCGCCTCGTACGAGACCGACAAATGGGCCAAGCACAGGAAGTTGATCAATCCGGCCTTTCAAACCGAGAAAATAAAGGTACTAAACTACTTTTGTCTCGATTTGACAGGGAAATAATCTGATTCTGTTTGTGATGGTTTTTTTTTTGAATTTTGAGCAATAAAAAGGGATCAATATTTTATGATTTGCACAGCGTATGGTGCCGTCCTTTTACCTGAGTTGTGCTGAGATGTTGGGCAAGTGGGAGAAGATTGTGCCGAGCCAGGAATCATGCGAGGTAGACGTGTGGCCGTACCTTAAGACCATGACAAGTGACGTTATTTCTCGTACCGCCTTTGGCAGTAGCTACGAGGAAGGACGAAGGATATTCGAACTTCAGCAAGAGCTGGCCGTGCTAGTCATGGAATCCATGCGCTCAGTTTACGTCCCGGGCTTGAGGTGCAATTAATCAATCAATCAATATTTTTTTGGCGAAAACTTGTTTGTTTTGTGTATTTACCAAGAAACCCGTTGCATTTCTTGTGGTATATATATATATATATAGATTTCTGCCGACGAAAAAAAACCGGAGGATGAAGCAACTCGCCAAGGAAATGAAAACTTCGATTCTCGAGATTGTGACCCGGAGGATGAAAGCTTTAAAAGCAGGGGAGAAGTGCAGTGACGACTTGTTGGACTTGCTGTTGGAGTCGAATTTCAAGGAAATGGAGGAGCACGGGAGTAAGTTTGGGATGAGCTTGGAAGAGGTGATCGAGGAGTGCAAGCTTTTCTACTTTGCGGGTCAAGAGACAACCGCAAACTTGCTGGTTTGGACTATGATTTTGTTGAGCAAGCACCAGGACTGGCAGGCTCGTGCTAGGGAGGAGGTTCTTCATGTGTTTGGGCAGGCGAAACCCGATTATCAAGAGATAAACCAGTTGAAAATTGTAAGCGTTTGCGATTTTTATAGTAACAAGTGGGAAATTTTGATAAATATGATGGGAAACATAAATGGGGTCCTGTGTTTTTTTGCATTGCAGATAAATATGATACTTCACGAGGTTCTGAGACTCTATCCACCGGGAGTTATGCTGAGCCGAGTGACTCTGAGTGAAAGTAAGTTTGGAAATCTGAGTATTCCAGCTGGAGTTCAGTTGATGCTGCCTGTGATTCTACTGCATCATGACCGCAGAATATGGGGAGAGGATGCCTTGGAATTCAATCCCGAGAGATTTGGGGAGGGAGTGTCCAAGGCGACCCAAGGGCAGCTTGCCTACTTGCCCTTCGGCTGGGGGCCGCGGATATGCCCCGGCCAGAATTTCTCCTTGCTGGAGGCTAAGCTGGCTTTGGCTATGATTTTGCAGCGCTTTTCGTTCCGCCTGTCGCACTCGTACGCGCACGCTCCTCAGACCGTCATCACTCTTCAGCCTCAGCACGGGGCACAATTGATTCTCGAGAGACTTCTACAGTAATAGGATTGTATAATAAGTAACATCACTCTTATTTGCATTTTTCTCTCTCTTTCTTTTGTATTGTTGAGTTTTACAGGGGAAGTTGATTTAGGATTGTATAATAACATCACTTTTGTTTGCGTTCTCTCCCTTTCTTTTGTATTGTCGAGTTTTGTAGGGGAAGTTGATTTGGGCTTGTGAGGTTCCTCTCTCTCTCTCTCTCTCTCTCTCTCTCTCTCTCTCTCTCTCTCTCTCTCTCTCGTATAAATAAGTTCATTTGAAGACTGTTAATTTTTGTAAAATGTTGCTATAACACAAGTATATATATATAGGAATTGAATAGACACATAGGTATGTATTTAGTTAAAATAATGTTGTTTCATGCAAAAGAATATTTTGATACTAAAAAGGAATTTTTCTGAACACTATGTTTTTTTTCTATTTTCTTTTAGTATTTTTTTTTTTACCATATGTGGTAAGACTTTATTTTTATTTTGGATAATGTGATATCAATAATTGAATTAAATTTATTGATTAAATTTATCAACCAATAATTTTATTTCTATGGAATCTACTTTATTATTAGTAATGGGATATTAATAATTTGAGATCAATCTTTTCAAAAATTACAATCAATTATTCACTTTCTACCACATAATCCAAAATTTTATTTGATATGAAAATATAAATCAACGGTATTGCTATAATTTAATCACTCTTAAGGATAATAATTTGTAAATTAAAAAAATATATGAAGTTCAATATAAAAAAAATGAGTCGACTATTGAGATGTCATGTAAATTATAAATTCAAAAATAAAAATCAATATATTTATAATATAATATAATATAATATTATAAATATATTGATTTTTATTTTTAAATTTAGAATTTACATGACAGCTCAACAGACGACTCATATTCTTTTATGTATATAATAATAAGTTTAAAAGTATAACTCATAAAAATAAGATTGTGATGCATGTGTTTATATCAAAATTTATGTCGTCCTTATTGTAGCGTGATTATAAATTAAATAGTGTACAACTTGATATATCAAATATATTATAAACGTGATAAACTATGTTGTAAAAAAATGATATTTTTATCTGCATACATACCAACACTATCATCCCTAAATAAAAAGACCGCACTTAGAACCCCAATGAAGCTGTTTACTCGCACGTCGAAAGTTAGAGCTCCAAATTCTGACAAAGAAAAGGCAAGTTGGGTTCGATAAAAAGGGTCATATTCTATCTTTGTTCAAATCTACGAAATATATGAATTCTAAGCGCATCGAATATATAGAATTAGAACAATAATCGTACTTTTAAAATTTATTGCCAACTCAAGGATGGTACACTGTCAACGTGACCGAGGTATTGGCCGCGGGAACTTAACATCTATGGATGTATTCTGATCACCAGATCCAAACATTGCACAACGAACTTTTGGAACCCCTCTCACTTAAATAAATAAATAAATAAATAAATAAATAAATAAAAAACTCACACATTTGAACTGCAAATGTGAAAGATGACAATGTCCTTTTGAAATCAGGAAACACAATCTCTCTCTCTCTCTCTCTCTCTCTGGCATATTTATTCAAGAGAGTCGTGGTATATTTATAGGTTACAACATGAACTTTACGAAGGTGTTAAAGTAGGACTCGTGATAAAATTAGGTGTACTGGTTTTTGTGCTACCCTACACCTCCAGCCCATCAATAATAATCGAGTCTACTTTGTATTATTATTGATCTTCATCGTTAATCCTAACTGATTTTACTCCAGATTTAACTACTTGATTTATATCTCCATATTGAAGATAATGATGTCCGTTAATTAATTACTGATAATTTAATTAATTAACGTCTTATTTCTAAAACTAAGTACCACTCGTCCTTATTATTAGAGCATCTCCAAAGTCCAATGCTATAGCTTTGAAAGAAACTAATTTTTAACACATGTCAATCAATGATTGTAATGCTAATCCATGTAGGAATAATGTTAAAAGAATAGAAATTTGAATCAAATTAGTATCTCCAATGCATCAATTTGATAAGAAGTTATTGTATAGGTGGACCAATTAAAATAATCATTATTACAAGAATAATAAAAAATTAAATCAAATATAAAGTGAATTGATTAGTCATCATGTTTAACATGGTGTTAGATATTAGAAAGTGTGTTCAACATTGTCAACATTAAATGTTATCTACCTCATCATAAAAGAGCCCATGACAAGATGCATTGAACAACAAATTAGTAACACACTTTCAAAAGTTAATGATATTGATGAATTTTTATGATATCAAAAGCCACATTAGAGATGTTAACATCTGCATGTCAGATCAAATTCTACCTGCATGTTTTAGAGCATCTCCAATGTGGCTTTTGACATTGTAAAAATTCATCCATATCATCAACTTTTGAAAGTGTGTTACTAATTTGTTCTCCAATGCATCTTGTCATGAGCTCTTTCATGATGAAGTAAAGAACATTTAATGTTGACAATGTTGAGCACACTTTCTAATATCTAACACCATGTTAAACATGATGATTAATTAATTCACTTTATATTTTATTTAATTTTTTTTTGTATTAATGATTATTTTAATTGGTCCACCTATACAACTAACTTCTTATCAAATTGATGCATTGGAGATACTAATTTGATTCAAATTTATACTCTTTTAACATTATTTCTACATGGATTAACATCACAATTTTCGTAAATAATCAACACCACACCATATAACTAGCACCATTATTTTATTTATTTATTTATTTTTTTTTTGTGGTAAATAATCAACTCCACACCATATAACTAGCACCACTTCCATACCCACCGAGTCTACTGATTTTTCATGAACAAAATTGTACTCTTGAGTAAATCAAATAAGTACATGCGTGCCCTTAAGATATTTATTTTGTCAGTATAAATGAACTTACCCTCCCATGTTCCATACACTGTGAGTGTACTAGCTAAATTCACTAGCCAAGATCAATTAATTCTAAACCTATATTACAACCATTCACAACATTTTGTTCAATTCTATCTAAACCACATTTATACTTCACAAGATACCAATAATATGATATATCGTACAACACGACGAACTATATCATCTACAATGTATTATATATGAACAATTCACACTACTATTTATCATATCATAATTATAAAATACAAACAATTTGACTAAGCATGATTCTCATTAATAGCGTAAACAAATTCATAAATAAGTCAAACTTTCAGTATACAAACAAACGCATAACATCATCTTAAGCCTAGTGCATTTATTTTTTCGGTACATGACAACATACATGACTCTCGGTCGAAATTATAGCCAAAAGTTTAAACATCGAAAAACAAGATGCTATTCAACATAGGTTTCCAAACAGATTCAAACCTAGAGGCTATGTAAGATCAAATGAGCACCATGTTGAGGCTGTGTGGTTATTATGCTGCGCGGAGCATGCGCATAGGTTGGCGAGAGCTCGAATGAGAAGCGCTGGAGGATCATAGCAAGTGCCATTTTTGCCTCAACCATCGCAAACGCCTGCCCAATGCATATCCTTTGGCCCCACCCAAAAGGGAAGAACAACCCCTGCCCTCCCTTTTGTGCTTTGGTCACGCCTTCGCTAAATCTCTCTGGCTTAAACTCCATCACATCATCTCCCCAGATTTCACGGTCGTGATGTAACATGATAATCGGTAACGTGAGCTGAACTCCAGCTGGCAAAGTCAATTTCCCCAATTTGGTTTCCTCAGTCACGTACCGACCGAGGGCAACTACTGGCGGATATAGCCTCAAGACCTCGTTCAAAATCATGGTTACCTACGATTATTAACATACACTAAGTTTGTGGGGGTCGTAATGATAAAAAATAAAATTCTAAAAAAGTGAATTAGTAGTTACGATTTTGAGGTGATTCAATCCATCGTAATCTGGAATTTGATTCCCAAAGGCTTGAAGAACCTCTTCCCTAGCTTTTGTCTGCCACTCGGGGTATCGGCTCAACAGAACCATTGTCCACACAAGAAGCACTGACGTAGTCTCCTGCCCTGCAAAATAGAATAGCTTACACTCTTCCACAACTTCATCTATGCTCATCCCAAAATTCTTGTTGCCGTGTTGCTCGATTTCCCTGAAATTGGACTCCAACAATATGCCAAGCAAGTCTTCACCTCTCGACTCCCCTGCTTTCATCGTCTTGACCCTTTCGTTAATGAGACCTCGTATTAAGAATTGAACTTCTTTTTCGATTTCTTTCATTCGCTTGTTCATTTTTGTCGGCAAAAATCTACGCATTGGACAAAGGGACCAAGGCAGACACATTGCAATTAGAAATAGCACCATCTCAAGTCATTTTCTCTCTTTCTTTCTTTCTTTCTCCATACTTTTCATTTTCTATTCAAAAGACAAAATGAAAACATTTTTATTACCTCCATCCGGGAATATAAATGGACCGCGAAGCCTTCGTGCTGAGTTCAGCCTGCTCCCGTTGAAGTTCGAATATTCTTCGGCCCTTTTCATAGCTAGTACCAAACGAAGTTCGTGATATTGCATCGCTAGTTAGATTCTGCAAATACGGCCAAACATCCACCTCGCACGACCCTTCTTCTGCTGCCGACAGAATCGCCTCCCATTTGCGCAAGACTTCCTCACAACTCATATAGAAGGCCGGCATCATGAGCTGTAACCAAATACAGAAAAATACAAAACAAGAACATTATTCCAGTGCATAACTAAACTGTTCTATCTACACAACACATTCAAAACATGATCCATGGCAACAGAGCACCTTAAGTTTCTCTAAATGGAAAGCGGGGTTGATTAATTTTCTGTGTTTGGCCCATTTATCTCCCTCGTAGGACACAAGCCCTTGTAGAAGTAACCTGCTTAGAGGATTCGAGCTCCTCGGCTTATGGTACAGATTAATCTTGGTCATGACCTCCTTAACAAGTTCCGGGTCCGTTACAATAACCGACGGCCGAGGTCCGAACCAGAAAAACGATCGATTTCCTGTAGTAAAGATCAAATTCAGCAACCTCAACAGCTCATAACAATAAAAATAAAATAAATATCCAAAACAAAGGAGTTAATGAATCTATACATACCATACTTGTTAATAGTTTTGAGGAAGAAGGAGAAGACCCTTAGCTTGATATCATCATCAAGACTGATGGGTTTTGATGAGGCTTCCTCCAACATAAGCTTCAACTCTCTCAAGTCACCATGGAGAAATTTGTAAGGGTTCCCCTTAAGACCCTGTTTCCTCAGCAGAGCTTGAAGCCTCTTGGGCCTGAAGTAGGCCCAGTTTAGTATATTAAGGGTGTACATCAACACCACTAGCATTAAGGCAGCAGCCATTATTTGCTGTGCAAATTCCATTTTTTTCTGTTTTGTGTATCTTGTATGAGATGAGATGGGATAGCCTCGAGTCTGAGTCTACTGCTATTTATTGCCTCTTATGATGTTGATAGGACCGCAGTTCACATGACCTTTACTAGGCTTTTAGTCCAATAAAATTGATAATATATTTGAATTTTCTTTCTCTTTGTCCGCTTGAAAGGGACACGTTCTAGAAATGCTTGGAGAACAAGACAAAATAAAGTCGGAGAAAATCAATGTATTTGATCATCAATTATGTGGCGTGTGAAGGAGTTCTAGAAAGGTTACAAGATAAATGAGAGAGCCTTGGTTGAAAAGCTTTATTAAGAATATAATTGGTAAAATAATTCAAAGAAGATCACTTATCCATGATTCTTTTTTTTTTTTTTTTTGTTTCTAATTATGTTTTTATATTTATGCAAGTTTTTTTTTATTATTTTTAACTTAACAAACAAAAAAGTATATTACTTGTTGGCTCGGGCAGAGCAAAGAATGAGAGGGCTAATTCTCCCAGGTGGGATAGACAAAGCAAGTCGGACCGATGTCGAGAGGACCGGTGGCAGGCAGACAGTTAAAGAGCGATCATATGTTTTTCAAATATACGCAATTGAAGGCTAGTTAGGGAAAGTGCGCAAGGCGATCGAGCGCAGGATTGATGATCGAGCGGTTACTTGGTCGAGATCAAGGAGAGAAGGGCCAACAAAGCCTAAATCAAGTCGATACTACAAATTTCACAAAGACTACAAGCACACAATGGAGAACTGCAGACACCTAAAGGATGAAATCGAGCGTTTGATTCGAGCAGGACACTTGAAGTACTTTATATATCAGGATAGGGCAAAGAAGAAGGAGAAAAGAAGGTGTCGAGAGGATTCGATCGAGAAAAGTAATAAGGATGAGAATGAGGGTAGAGAGGAAAGAGAAGATAGAGGAGGCCAAAGAGATCGAGAAAACAAGAGAGGGCGCGCAACAGGGGTGGTCGAGATGAAGAGGAGGATGCGACCCGGACCAAGAAGCGGGTCATTTATATGATTTCAGGAGGACCAATCAATGGAGATTCTAACAATGCTGCGAAGAAGCATACTCGGGCTGTAAAGAGGAAGCGAGAGGAGGTCAGAATCATAGCTACTGTGTGAAGAGGATCTTTATTGTTACAGGGAGCTCATCAGATGTTATGGTTTACGATTGCTTTAGGAAGTTGAACTTGGATATTGAGCTAAAGAGGTGGTTATGTCCCTATATGGTTTCAATGAAAGTGTAGTTGTACCCATGAGAGAGAGTGACCTTGACGGTGGCTCTAGGGGCGAGTTCGACCAGGTAGGTGAAAATGGTGACGTTTGTGGTGGTCGGAGAAGAGTTTTTGTATAAAATCATTTATGGAATGACGAGCCTGAATGCTTTCTAGACAGTAGTACCAACATACCATATGACAGTCAAGTAACCAATGGGTGAGAAATTCAGGAAGGTCATGGGTGACCAATTCGCGTTGAGGTCGTGCTACCAAACAATAGTTGCAGTGAATAGACAGAATTCCAGAAGGTTGATAATGCAAGTGTGAGCGTCTTGGCCCGATTTGGAGTAGATCGCTTCTCGTCTTCGCCGGTAGGGGTTTTTCCAGTAAAGAGCCTCCAATGCTTAAGTAAGTATGTGTATGAGTATACTTGAGTTGAATAATAGAAATCGTGTTAAGGAAGAAAGGCTCACCCCTCTTTATATAGGGGCAAGATACCTGACCTAAGGGCTGCTCGAGTATGGTGAGCTGGCTGCCCCAACTGCCCGTCCGTACTCTGACATGCCGCGCGTATGTCAAAGGTGATGCTGGGAGTTGTCATAGGTGGTTGTCGCTGTCAACCAATGTATTCTCGCCACGTGTCCTCTGCACATGGGATGCTTATTCCTCTGAATATTCCCCTGAAATTCAGTTAGAGGCTCTTACACGCGCCTGTGACTAGGTCGATCTCCAGAATACTACCAACCCATAAAGTGGTCGATCTATCGAGGTCGAATCGACTGCTCGACTGTTGCTCGACATCTTGACTGGTCGACTGCTCGACTGGTTGATCTTTCCACTACTTGGTTCGGCTTTCTCCCGGTACAACCTCTTCGATCGGTACGGTGGACAGGTTTACCTCTGTAGGTATAATATCCTATATCAGTTGAGTACTCCGAAGGAGGAGATGGTGGATAGACTAAGCTGATCTAGGTCGATGGAGGACAGACCTAAGCTCGATAAGGGGAAGAAAAATGTGGATATTCAGCTAGGTGTAGAGTTTGAGGAGATACAAATGATTGAGGATTGTTACGAGATGAAGTTTAGAATTGAAAAGGAGCTGGGGGAGCCCTTGAGGTCAAAACTCATAGCGCCGATACGGGAATTTGTAGATGTGTTGCCTAAGAATCCGAGGAATTGACGAGGATTTATGCAGTATAATCGAGAATAGATTGAATATAGGCATTAACGTTGGACATGTGCGTTAGAAGATGAGGCACCATGGAGTGGAGATGGATAAGGTAATCAAGCAAGAAGTTAACCAATTATTGAATGCAGGACACGTGGTCGAGATGCAATTCCCCGAGTGGTTATCCAAGCCTTAAGGTAAATGGAGGATGTGAGTTGATTTCAAAGACATGAACAAGGCATGCCCAAAAGACTTGTATCCATTATCAAGGATCAATCAACTAGTCGACTCCACAGTCGAGTGAGCTTCTCAGTGTGATGATGCCACGTAGGGTTACCACCGAACTCCCTAGGCTTCTCTATTTTTTATTTTTTATTTTTTTGCAACTACAACTCGAAAGATCAATAACTCACGCTAGGTGTGGAGGACGAGGGCTGCTTCAGAGTAGTCGGCGGGCTTAGACTTCAGCATGGATCACCACGGTGAATAGGGGCCGGCGCACATGGTGGTATGTCGGGGGTACGACGGAGGTCGATGTCTACTTTGGGTGGTCCGACGATGGGCCAGTGCTGTGAAGGTACAAAACGACGGCTGTGCGGTGGGCACCAGTTTGTGTGTCGGAGAGAGTGATGTCGTGCGAGAAAGACAATGAGATGGTGAGAGACGGCGACAGATGGTTGCAGCGGGCGACGAAGGGCGGCCGCAGGCGGCAGTCGGAGGTGAGCCCGGTGTACAGAACACGAGGCATGTGTGTGAGGGTGGGTGAGAGAGAAATTGAAGTTTGGTGATTGGTAGTGGGACCCACATGTGATGTGATGTGAATGAATATGTAACTACTAGTAGTGCTGTTAAATTAAACGAGCCCGGCTCAACTCGGCTCGAGCTCGGCTCGAGTTCGAAGCCTTAACGAGCCGAGCTCGAGCTCATTTAAAGCTCGTTTGGTTAACGAGCCGAGCTCGGCTCGGCTTGATAAGGCTTGAAAAGTGAAATTTATGTAATTTTTTATAGCTCGGCTCGTTAAGGCTCGAGCTCGAGGCCTTAACCAGCCGAGCTCGAGCTCGATATTTGGCTCGTTTACTTCGGCTCGTTTACAGCCCTAACTACTAGTTTGTCCTTATTTAGTTGGCAAATAAATATACTGGACCATAATATTAGTGAGAAGTTTTTTTACATTAATTTTAAATATTTCTAAAAAAGTTTATATTATTAAAAAAATAATGGATTTTTTTTTAAGTTTAAATTTCTATACGTTTAAAAAATTACTTTATTATTCATATTTAAAATGAGACTTTCCACTTGTTGAATTTTCTATTCATATATTATATAATAATATTTTTAATTCACATGTAATGAATTTATAGAAAATTTCTTTTCATATATTATAATAATATTTTTAATTCATATGTGATGAATTTATTGATAAACTTTTAATTGATATATAATTTTATTAATCTTTAAGTACTATTAGAATTTATAGATAAACTTTTAATTGATATATAATTTATTAATATATAATTTTATTAACATTTAAGTACTAATATAAGCTAAATCATAGATTCTCTCCATCTGAAACTTGCCCAAACTAAACCCTCGCCGCCTTCGTCTACAGTTCGACGTTTTGTGCCTCACTCCACGGCCGGGCGGGCTTGTCGGTGGACGGCCCTCCGCTGCACATCCATGGATCTGGTTGCTGAGCCCTATTAGTTCGCCTCAAGCGGTGGGGTGCGGGCTAGGTATTCGGCAGAGTTTTACTATCTGTGTGCGAAATCCGCCGGTGTTCCGGTGTGGTGGAGCTTGGTGAAGTGCAGGGCCAGTGGGTGGATGTGGCTTCGATCGCTTGTGTCGACACTGGTTCAGGACGACTTTTCTCGTCGAACTCTGCGAATGGCCATGTTCCGAATCTTCTATTCTCGCCATTGTTGTCTCGTGATCTCCGGTCGCGGGCACATGGGTGTTGAAGTGGTGATGGGCGGGGGTCCATTTTGGAGGGCTGGGTGGGAAGCTTGTCGTTCGCTCGGGTTGTGTTGGAGCGACTGGGGCTTTTTCGCCATTCTTTCCCTTTTCTCCCTTGTTCTCTGGTGCGAGTCCAAGGGAGGACCGCCATCGCCGTAATTGGCTAGTGGTGTTAGTCAGCTTCGGGACGGTGCTGGAATCGACTAGTGGTGTTAGACAATTTGGGGGGTGATTGTGGCTTCTTACGGCCGGAGAGCGGGTCGGCTCTTGGACTGGTTCGAGGCTTAGGTCTTCATCTTTCCTAGGCGTCAGGCAATGGCGGGCGTGGTTCATGTGTTTTGGATCTCTCCTTGCAGTTCGGCTTTTGTTTGTTGTTCAACTCGGTCGTTCTGCTGAGCGAGGGCTTTGTTGTTTTGTCCGCTTTGTCTTTTGTTGTTTTATTTTTTTGTGTGTTTTTAGGTGTGTTTGTTTGTCCGTGTTTTTTATTTAGGCCGTTGGTTTCTATGAGTCCGAGTGTGAGCTTATTATCCTGTTGGGATCGTACACTCGGGCATTATCATGTTGGGATCATATTCAAAGTTTTTTCGTTTGTGATTGTGTAGTTTCTTAGTGTAGTTGTGAGTTTGTTATTCTAGCATGGCTAGGTCA